CAGTTAAGTTCGTTTTTTATCATTTTAATAACATTTAAACATTAATATGCAATACCAAGGACAATTTTATTGAAGCATACACACCAATAAACATTTCTATAATGCTTTTGTTTAATGTTTTAAATATTACATGAGAGTAACAACGAAATAAATGTTCACGTATGCGTGCGCTATATCATTTGCGGGGCAGTGTACTAGGAGTACTTCTGAGTTCAGCAGCTCAGCAAAATTGTAGACTTTGAGGGTCTTTTTCAATATATTTAACTTGGCAGGATATCAAATAATTTTCATACACCTAAAGTAGAGTATAATGCTGTGTCTTAGAAAAAATGTTATTGAAGCTCAATTCAACGACTAAAACTCCATGTACAAAAGGTTTCCTCACGTCTTACCTGGATTTGGGTCATCCCTTCTGCCAGACCTGTGACCCTTGTGCCTTCCACAAGAATGATGGTTTGATCTACAGCTTGTAGTTGGTGTCGGGTGTGATGAGTCACATGATGGCGTATGTCGTCCCCGTACAAGTACTGCTTAAGACCGGTAAGGCGCGGGACTGTCAACATACAGAAGAGAACAATATCTTGTAGTGAAATAAAAGGTTTGGCCTATAACAATGTGTGGCATGCCGACTGACTGGGTCAAGTAAAATGTTTAGCACTAAGGACTTTCAGAGCATGGATGCACAACAGAAGCTTAGTTTTGGGGAAAAAGAGTGAAGGTCTAGTTGGCCTACTTTTTTGGCCTATTTTAGTTGGCGTACTATGGAAATCTTTTCAATTTTTTTCTTTAAATATTTCAGAGGACTCCAAAGCTGGAGCTTAAGTTGAGCCAGCAGCCGATTTCACGAAACTTTACACAATGGCGTAACTCCACTTAGTAGAAAAAAATGTGTGGCAGGTTTGTACAGTATGCACGTCAGTGTAGGAGATCTACATGGGAAGTCTGCATGGGAAGTCCACATGGGAAGTCCACATCGGGAGTCTGCATTGGTGGTCTGCATTGGTAGTCTGCATTGTAAATCTGCCTGGGAAGTCTGCATGGGAAGTCTGAGTGTACAACTCTGTAATGGACGAGTTGTCTCCTCACCTGTATTTGCTTGCGGAGCATAGAACCTCGTGTATACGTCCACCTTGGCTTGCTGGTACCGCAGTTTGCATTTCCCCTTAGCAGTGTTATCCCTTCCGGTGTCTGGTTGGAGGTTACCGGGACCTAACAACCCCAATGTCTCCGCCCCTAAGTCCAACGTTTGCTGGGCATCCCGTCTGGACCTGAAATTAATTTCACAAGATAGACAACAAAACAGTGAATGTCAATTTCCAACAAAGCTTCTCAATCTTCTTTGCTTAATTTTGACTTGTGGAAATATACAACTGTACTGTACTACATTTCACCACATTGACAACAGTAAATCGGAAGAAAGTCCATTCTGCATGGATTCCAACTTTATAAATCAGGATGAAATGTGGAAATGTGAAAACTACAGTTTGTTCATGCCGCCCTCTATTGACAAAGATAAGCTACTGACATGAAAAACGTGTCATTTACAATGACTTTTACCTTTTCTTGAATGAACACTTCTGTGGTGTACTTATTTCTTTTGTACTGACAAGATTTGATAAAGGCTCATTAATCAAATGCTATCCTTTTTTTCTGTATATTATACCTGAGCAAAATTTCAATTTCTGCATTTCTGTACTTGTAACTGTAAATTCTTTGCTCTCATATCATCATTCTCACTATAGCGGAAAACCGTTAATGTTAGAATGCCTTTGTCATACTGAGAGCGCTGCCACATATCCAGCTCCCTTCTTAGTCCACATAGCAATGGTATCTTATCTGATTCACTTCTTATACTTTTTACGGCAGCAACCCGCTAGCAATTTGGTTTTCTATCTTCAGCAATACTTGTCCAACCCACCGATTTTGAGTAGCAGCTGGGATCTTCCACCCTCTGATCAGGCTCAGTTTGGGGTCGGACAGCACAACCTCCAGCGGCAACTCAGGGTACCAGACCTTGAATGCCTTGTACACCTCCTGCCCGGCAAACGACACACGAATCTTCTTGCCGACTGCACCGCCCGTTTCGGTCCCATCCACATAGAGGGCACTGCAGTCCTGCTTGACCTGTGGGCAAAAAATGATGTGAGTCAATTCTCACACTGCAGGAAAGTCTACGATGAAGTTACAGAGTGACTTGGAGAAAAATTACTATCTTGTGATTGTCACAGTTTATTAATTCAAGTCAGCCTAAAAAAAATTTGTGTTAACCCTTCATGAACATACACACTGTACAAAAACTAATCACAAGAGGGCTCCTCTATGTTTAACCATAATCCATCAAAATGACGGACCCTTTGAGTCCACATGGAAATGTGCAATCGAATTGAGCAACTTTTGATGAAAATAAAATTAAGCTTCAGCACAAGCAGTGATTTGATGACACCTGACCTTTTCAGTTAGTTTCACTAGCAAATATGACGCTCAGAATTGCAGGCCAGGTCAAAAGACATTCCTCTGATTGACCTTTCGCATAATACGTATTAAGAGCATTCATCAAAAAATAACAAACTACACTAGAGGAAATAAATAACTTGATTGCTTAACAGTCAGTAAGGAGTTGCATAATAAACCTTCATAATCTTAATGTTGGAGCAGAGGGGAAATAAAATGGAAATGTTCCACAATTTGAATCTCCCTATGGACACGCTAAAGGGAACACCTGTCTTTTAATTTTTATTTACCACCCAGATCATAAAATGTTGTACTAGTTTTATGATTATTAGTTTCATCAATAAACCATCCAGGCCAATGCCCAGTGAATTTCAATCACAGAGACAAATTTCCTCTCAGGTAATCTGAATAACCTCCAACATCAGCTACTGTGAAATTACCAATTTGGATTAACCTCCAACAAAAAATTTAGTCAGATAGTTTTTTTTTTCTTTTTTACGATCCTGATGATTAAAAGGGTTATTTCATGGTGCTCTGTACAGTCCAAATTCGGAAAGCTTTGACTGGCTGCAAGCTAATTTCACGCTGAAGGACACTCGGATATTTGGCTCAAAATTGGTGACCTCCAGAAAGTTTTTTATGAGTTGTTGACGGAGGGCCATTTCAAGTTGTTAGATATCAGGGAAAACATGATGCTGACCAAACAAAGGTCTTTTCTAGAGGCCTCTAATACCCCCCCAACAAAGATACTGACAAATGGGGGGAACCATCAGCACAGGGCTGGGAAACACAGTTGGTAGGACAGCAACAGTGGTTTCAAAAGGCTCATGGTCTCCTAAAGAAACTCTTCCTTCTCGGGAAAAAAATTTGCAGTACAAGTGGTGCCCACAAGAGGGAAAACCTTTTTCACTTTGCAAGATCATCTTTGATTCATATTTGAAGTCAGGCTGTGTGTGAAATAGGCACTGCTGTCAAATGGCTAGGGCTACTCTCCATGCTGAGCTAATGGCAAAAAGCAAAGCCACTGACACAAAATGCCCTGTATAACATCAAAAAAATGGAGGACCCCAAAGGATTGTGGGACATGAAGTGTGCAAAGGATCTGCACAGAAGATGAAACCGTGACTTGGATAACTATGGATGTTATAATGAAGTTAGTCAGAGCCAAAAAACTATGCAGCAGGGTGCCTTGTCATGTTGTTAACTGCAGCAAGTTACCTTGAGGACATCAGGATCCAGACTGGTACACTGCGCAGAGGCGGTGATGTTCTGCACCTGTCCAGACTGCGTCACTGTGACAACACTCATGGGCAGCGATACCCTCTCGCCGTCCAGGACGGCCGTGTTGACGATGTCATCCGCCTGTGAAACAGAGAGACAGGAAAAGGGGCATTAAGCAAGCGGCTCAGAAATGATCTGTTTAATGCACAGGAAAGCCTGTTTGCAGCATCTCCATTCACAACGAGAATATCCCAGGTTGTGTAAGGGTATTCCTTGGGCAAAAATGTTGGCATGCTTCAACAATGAATTCAATGAGTTTCATTCATAACTTCCATCGCATTCAATGCGAAATGAAGATTTCTCTTTCCAGAATGTAAAGAAAAGTTTCTGTTAAACAGGTTTTGAAAATGAAACAAGCTTTATTAATGTGTACATTTGTTTGACTGAACAATGTTAAAATGTTCACCAATATTTTGATGTCAAATCTTGCAAAAATGAGAACTAAAAATTATGCTTGGCCTGACAAAGGAAGGTACGCGTAGTAGTGTTGGGAGATATTTTTCAGACAGATGTCATTTACTTTTGAGTAGTGATGATTAAGTGTAGAGAATATTTCATTCATTTTTCAAACTGCATGTGATGTCTCAGCGTGCATTTATTACAACTCAGGTACATACAAGTATTGATCCTGAACAAGTTCAACTGGGCATGCTTTTGCACGACATATTCTAGTTGTCCTTCGAACTAGAAGATAAACTGAGTGGGAAATCTGTATCATTTTCATTAGGGGCTTTGAGTATGGCGTTTGGAAATACCTCACGATTGCTTAATTTAACTTGTTGCTGAAAGTGTTTTCTTTGCTTAGTAAACACCTATGCCCTGTGAAATTTGGACACCCTTACAGCATTATCCCTTGTTGGTCAGAGAAGCGCTGTGTCACATTTCTGGCGAGACGTTCTGGCAGCAGGGCAATTAAGTGTGACGCCACCGCATGCACCTCAGGTAGGTTTTATTGGTTGAGGGGAATAAGTTTGGGTGAGGGGTGCACACAAAGATCAGCAACAGGTGTGTGGGGTGGGGTGGATAGACGCTGAGTCTCCGACCGAGTGTTCGTCAGTTTGGGGGAGGGGAGAAGGGGGAGGGGAGAAGGGGAAGGGGAGAAGGGGAAGGAAGGATATTTTGGAGGGTAACTCACCACACCGTAAACACCTGTGGTCAGGTGCTAACTGGTTTGGTGGCCACAAAGGATTAGGGAGTCCAGTGCCTGGATTTAAATGCAGAAGTCAAAGTTCGAAGCCTGATTGTAGGAAAGCTAACACTGACTTGAGCACTTGGACGCTTGTCTGAAATACAGTGTACCAGTCTAAGTTTTGCAGACTGACTTGGCAACTCTTAATCAGGGTGTGTCAGTGTTTGGAACGGTGAAGGTCACTTTGAAACACCAGGTTTGATATTATGGTAACAAAAAATTATAACATCTCATGACCGTCTTTTGAACACTTGATCATCATCATCCTGAGGTGATAAAAATCTGGCACCATGGAAGGTGAAGGCAGTGACAAGGGTTGTATTTTAGGAGCAGCACGGCCTTCAACAGCTAATCTGGTCACTGCCTCATGATGCTGGGCATCGTAAGGCAAGTTCAAGCAGTGACCATACTAAACTACAGTTCAACTTACACCACCCGAATGATGGATGGTTTGGACTATCCAGTTGACCATTTAGACCAGACCTTGGGGTATGGTCGCATCACTGGTTATCAATAGCCGATTTCATTTATCATTACTGAGAGAACCATTCACGTGAAAATAATTGATCAAGATTTCAATAACTATGTACGTTGCGAGAGTCGCAGCCAATGGTGAAATGTGAATAACAAGATTTAAAAAAAAAAAAGGCTGACTAGGGTCATTCGCTGTGTAACTGAAATGCACATGTGCAGCGTTGAAAAGCAACTGACTACTGGTTGAGCTGCAGTTTCCTCCTGAACTTGCCCGTGGAATGCCATGTTCTAGTCTGGTTCCGCATTAGCACATGCAGTGATGGCAGCTCCTGTGCCTGTCCACAAACCTAAATCACAAGACAGCCCAGCCGGCCGCCAATGTTTAAGCCACGTTAATAATGGTGGATTTTCTCCCTTCACATTTTTTGGAGGGGGGATGTATTCATCCAGACAATGTACTTTTGAAATTTGACAACTAGAAAGGTCATCTCCATGTTTATATGCAAACACAGGAAGTGACACAGCTTTTAAGGATTGCTGAGATTCAAATATACAGTGTGCAGGTTGCCCTTTATAGACTGAATGTACTCTATGCCAAGTGTTTCCTGAAATCCCACCAGGAGGAATCGTAAAGGCTTGTTACAATAGGATTTTCAAGAAGGCACATGCAGTCTTGCCACTTTAACCATTCGACCATCAAGCTTGCTCACACTACAAGGCTCGAATGGTATAGCCAGCTGTTCTGTCTGTACGCATACACCTTCCCTTTTTTTTAATGAAAAAACATTTCACAAAGACTTCATTACATTCAGCAAAGCTCTCGTAAAAACCTGGATTGTCCCCTTGTGTAGGCAAATCTTGTTATCAGAATGGACAAGTTCAGTTTTCCATCAGTATGTGCCCACATTGAAGCAGGTCCCAGGTCATTCAGGAACAGATATGTGCTTGTGTCGCCGTACGCCAACTCCCATGATGCGTGTGTTCTCTGTTCTCCAATGACCTTGAATTTTTTTGGAAATACTGAACTGGCTGCTTAGGTGCTGCATTAACACATGCTCACGTACAGGTCACAATTGCACATTCAATACAGTTTTGACTGATACGGTGTTGCATCTTGCCAAAAATACCGGTACGAGAACATGTCTACAAGTACATGGGTGTAATGCCACGGTAGTGACGGCCTCTCCTTGGATTATGCTGGTATCAGATGTATTTTCCTGAAGAGGATTTCACCTTCCTGAAGAAACTGGCAACCCCACATCTCGTGTCTGGAGATTAGGGGTTGCTCCTGACGCCTACATTTTAACAACAAAAGAATGAAAGACATCACTGGGATTTTTTTTTACCCAAACAACGGGGATCACAGACTGCCCAGAAGTGGAGGCCACAGGTACTGTTGTGACGATGGTGGTAGTGTGCTGCTCTTGTTCGTAGTCGATGCGCCAGTTGGCAAGCCGAGAGCTGGAGGTGGTGTTCTCCACTTCAAACTCGACAGTGAATGCGGGGACATCTGCCAAGGCTTCACTGAATTAGGAAGGAGGGAAAAAAAAAGATTGGGAAATTCAGTTTCCTTGAAGTTACACGGAAAACGATAATGTCTGGGAAGAAACTCTACACACCAGCAAATTGGAGGGCTGAAGACTGTGATGAATGAAGCTTCATGCTCAGGTTTTGAGGAAAAAGAGGTGTTACCAGTTTTGCACATTCTCCTGAAGATTGGTTAAACGGTTTTATGCATGAAGCTGAAAAGGACACTGCCTGTCTGTACACATTCAACTGAAAACTGAACAAATGCAGTGTGTGCTGTTTGTAGACACAAACAAGATGTGTGTGTGAACACAGCATGTCCTACCCAGACCTTGTAAATTGGCCAAATGGCAACTATATGGTATAGTTCTTGCATGGAGCTAACGGCAACATTAACACTGCCAATACACATTACATTGTAGTTATTAGAGAGAAATACCATGTTTGAATAAGTTTTACTGAGTTTTCCCTTCACATTCACTGACTGACAGACCTATTTCTCTGCCCTATGTCCTACTTATTCACAAAATATATATGTATTCTTGACAAGAATTTATAAAATTTCAAGTAGAGCTGGTTGGATTTTTCCAATATCCTCCGACAGAAACAGCTGTTTATATGCCCTGTTTCTCACGTTTCAGTGAAAGAATCGAACATCAGTTACAGGAAACTGAAGTTTGTCATGCAGAACTAGTAAGAACCTTATTTTAACCTACATGTCAAGACAAATCTGTCACAGTTGAAGTTGTCATGGCCCTGTTCAAATAAATGGCGCCGTGGCAACAAAGGCAGTGAGGGAAAAAGAAGGATTAAAAAATGGAGGCTAACAAAAGAACTGCAGGAAAATAAAATGATTGTGCTGTGCCAGCTAAGAGTTGCCGCATGTTTTTTTTTATTCACTTGAAAATGTCTGATAATGATCACACAACACAGGCATGTGTTATCATCGTGGGTCCTGTTATCTGTCGCAATCTTATCGCTGAAGACAATCTTTTATAGATTTTTTTGTGTGATTACATTTCAAAATCTTTCCCCCAAACCAAAAAGGTTTGGGGAAAAATTCTACCCTCACCAATTTATTTGTGTAATCACAGTCTCCCTGGGTTACATTGAGGCCAGATTAAAAAAAAAAAAAATAGGGAGGCATTTCTGGTCTTTGCAGAAAAGAACACCAAAGAGGGAGAACATGCCCCAAAGAGTGGAGGACGATTTCTTTCATCACACCAAATTAACTGCCATGAGCACACTTGACCCCATTTGACCTCCACAGGCTGTTTTCATTTTCTCTCCGTCTTCTTGGACCCTCTGAGGGTTTGATCCAACCAGATAAATACTGAGAACAGGGATTTGAGTGGGGGTATTTGAGGGAATAACTTCAATACTTCGCGTAATTTGGTCGCAGAAAACAATTTTGTTTACTGAATCTTTACTCACCGCTCATTTCAGCGGCAATCTTGAGGGAAATGTATCCATGTTTCTTCCTACTCCTGTGTCAGGAATTTGTAACGATGCTTACATATTTTCTAACACAATAAATCTCAAGGATACGGTGTCAATGCAGAGTATACAGTATATTAGGAAACCTATCAAAGTGACACCTTATGGGTTGCTTGGTTGATTCAAATTAGCATAACTTTTGAAGGCATCTCTCTTGAAATAGTTATTGAAAATGAAATGAGTTGTAACTTGTAAGGGCAGTTTGGTGTGTAAATTTTTTATTTGGAAAAGGTGCGTGGAAACTGTACATGAAATGAAGGTAATTGTTGTACATGTAATTCCCTCTACTGTGCTTTAAAACTCATGTGTTAAGATATGGCATAATTACAGTAAACTCTTGATAACTCAGAGTCGGTTAACTCGAAACTCCGGTTATCTCGATGATATTCTTCATTCCTGCCCAAGGAATAGGCTTTTACATGTATGTACAAACTCAAAATGCTCACACCACTACATCTGCTTAACTCAAAGTTTTTAAAGGCAGATCCAAAAAGACTGGTGCCAAATTACTGACAATGAGTAGAAAAAGAAAGTGTAGACTTTCATTACAAGTCATTTCTGCAAACCGCACTTTGTCTTTTTGCATGAGGACACAAGCATGCTTGCCGCCAGTGCCATTGTAATCGACTTGTCGCAACCACAACCAAAACAAATCCCAGCTTTCAAGCAAGCCTGATTGCCATAGCGGCCCAAATGTAGCCCGCACACAAGCAGTCCAACCTTTACTTCTTTATGGTGGCCATGTGATCACTTTGAAGGAAGCTTTGTGTGTGCCACGGCTAAAGCCTGGCTACCGCTGCCTGCCCAATTGCAGCACTTGTGTGCCACTCATATGCTGACTAACATGCATTCCTGGCACGGTGCTGGAAATGCTGTTTTGCATCGCCAAATTTCACTCCGATTTTTAAAAAAGGAAAGGTAATAATAAGGGAATTAAAGACAAACACACACAAATAAATTTTCTTCAGTTTTTTTAAAACTCAAATGTTTTGAAATGCAAAATGGTGTGCCCTCAAGCGATTAACAAGGAAAGACCATGTGTCCAAACAGGAAAACCCAGGGCACGCAAGCAAAGGGCTGTGCACTTCGCACTGCACAAAAAAGGTACAGAGTTTTGGTGGTTTACGGTTTACTTATCAGTAGAATAGAAAAGTATATGTAACAAAAACATGAAATCTCAGCAAACTGATTTTTAGAAGAAATTTATTCTTGGATATAAGGAAATAACCACTTATCATGTCTCCAACTGCCACTGCATCAAGTAGGGTTACTTGTGCACTGTGCGTGTATGTGTGGGCAAGACATGGGAACTTTCATTAGCTCGAAATCCGGATAACTCAAATTTTTATCTATTCCCCTGCTGTTTGAGTTATCGAGAGTTTACTGTATGAAGAAAATACTTATGTCTGATAACTCCAATGTGGAATGACAACAAATTTCCTCAAACCGTTGGTTTGAGGAAATTAACCAAAGTAGCAAACCAGCTGCATGGTACCCCCGCAACTATACAGTGTTTTTTTGCATCTGGCCACGTACCTGTATGATTTACTCTTCTTGAACTATATTACATGTAACTCTGATTTGATTACAGACCGGCTCGGAGTTTTTCAATTCTTCTAGCCAATTTCCGAGGGTTTTTTTGGGTGGGAGGATTCAGTGAAGAGATCGGATGTTATGGCTGAGGTAAACGAGAAGGTACTCCGGATGAAAGTCTATAGCTCTAAGATCAGGGGAGCAAGCTTCCGAGTGCGGGTGGCTCAAATTGGAAAGGATCGCCTTGCAATTGGCCCAGTTTGTTCCCGCAATCTATTCCACTCTGAGTTTGGTTTGGGGAGAAAAAAACCTGACGGAGGTGGGTCTCCGGGAACTTGGAGTGTAATTACAAACGGAAGGGCTAAGTTTCAAGAGTTTTTGTTATCAGAATCTAAACTAATGGAACCAGTTAACAGTTGTATGTATTTGTGTCTCCCTCTGTAGACTCCAAAAAGGTTGTTTCACTTTTAAACTTTATCGTTAGCAAATGGTCCTATCAGCGTGCCACTAGCTATTTCCTTTTTTCTTTTTACGATTTGCAAAGTAGCTGCAAGGGAATGATTTACGACAGACTTTGTTGCTTCATAATGTCACCGAGGTTCCAAGAAACACTGTGCTCCTACAGCATCTGGCTACTGCCATGAAATCAATGTTTCAAGCCTTGAACTGGCAAAAGAAGAAAAAAAGCTAAATACTCAGACAGCTTCAACTTCAACCTCTGTGCTGATTGCATTCGGCATAAATCAACCCCTCCCCCAAGAAAAAGCCAGCCTGAATTTCTGCCCCTTACATGCTTGCCCCCTTGTGTATTCCACTGTGATGTAATTTTTTTCTCAGTCTGGTAGCCCATGTCTAATCTCAGTCTCCTGCTGCCCAAGTTACAAACAGCTGGCTTCCCTTAAGTGCCATGCAGTCTGAGGCATAAAGACGGTATTTCATCTAGGGATGGAAAGTTCAGCTGAACTCATTTTCTAGCTAAGCCCTCCTTTAAATCTTCTGGGGGAGCGCTGGCGTCGCTTTATCTGAGGACTTGCTCTCCCCTTTATTTTTCATTTGTCTGGTGAGTACAAACCAACCGAACTAACAAGACATAAGAAGTATTTATAGCATCCCAGTGGGGTCTTAAATAAAAACCCACTTCGAATTCATTTTTAAGCGAATCCAAACAACAAAGTATTAAATCTCTGAGAAATATTCCCAGACAGGTTTTCGTCAGATTTGTTTAGGCACTCCAAGCCAAGCCCTTTTTCAAAGACACTTGATTGTAGAGTTAATCCAACAAAGTGAATAGTGTCACAGAATCAACATCAGAAGTTGATATTTTTTTAATTTGCGTGTGTTCTTTCTCTGGGTGGTGCCTAAGATTTACTCAGTTTACATTTTTGAGTTGCATACAATGTACGCTGTTCAATTTATGAATTGCAATCTGAGCTTCACTACAATTATACTTCTGCTTGACTCATTATACTCAGACAGGACCAATTTCAAAAATATTTTTCCCGACCCTAGTTCTCCAAATCTCTGATCCTCTGACATCATGTTTCCCAGCCAAGTAACTGCACAGCCCTGCTGACAGTCAAGTTAAAAATAAAAACCATGCTCCACTCTCCGTACACGCCGTTCCTTCGCGAGAGGAAATTGAAGATGATTGCATCAGCCAACGGGTCTACTTCCATTTCAGTTAGTGGGGTGACCCGCTCCGGATCTTGGCTGCAAATCGAAGGGGACTATGCCCCATTCCGTGTAACCGGAGAGCAGGTTGTGAGATGGAGATTACGAAGAACTACATGCACTTAGATCAAAATTTGATCGACGTCACAGACACAGGCATGAGATGACTCAAATGTTACTAAATCTTTCTCTGTCTTCATCTTACCACTGAATTCTTTCTCTTCGTTCCTTTCCAAACTCTCAAATACATGTATCTTCACTTTTGAGAGCTGTAATGCCAAGATTCTCTTTGGTCAGTGTGTTTTGGGAACAGTCGTTGGATTGTTTTGGGTGAAAATATGATGCCAATCAAAAAATGAGAGAGCCTGCACTTTGATCCTTCCAGAATCTTCTTCAGATCTTTAGATTATGAGGTGTGAAAATGAGATTTTTTCCCTCTTCGCATACCTGTGCGCGGTGGGTGGGGTGTCAGTGGATTCACCCCTCTGTACTGTCACCATGGCAGAGCCGCCCCTCTGCTTGACCCTGTATGAGATGACCCAGGCGTCCTGATTGGTTGGGTGGACGTTGATGACGCGAAGGCCACGCCTTGCTTTAGCCCTGAAGATGAAACAGATAGCGGTGGAAAAAAGCACAAATGTGATTAGTTCCAGTTGGTCAACTAAACTCTGGTTGGACCCTGACACAAAAAAAGCATGGAACCTTAACCTGGTGTGAGGTTAAATTCTTTGACCTTGAGCCCAAGTTACATGCAGATCCCCGAGTGTGTTGAGATGGACCCACAATCCAAAGTATGAGTTGCCAGCAGAGACATTTTTTGAATGTCCAAGTAGGCAAACTTCAAATATAGTGACTGGTTCATTTCTTCCTGCTCTGCTGATTTTCAGAGGAGGCAGAGGAGGTGACTGATGACAAATAGGAGGTGCAGGAAGAAATGTCAGAAAACGTAATAATTTCATCACAGAAATAACTGCTTCCGGGTGGGGTGGGGGACCAAATGGGTAAAAGCCAAGGATTGGGGAGGAAATGGTGACTGATGCAACTGGCTTCCTATTTTTCTATGGGGTAGTCAGCTGGGGTCAACAGATGGCTTCATAACACTGAAGCCATCAATGGCCACCTTATCCTGCTAGATACACAGCCTTGTTGGCTTACATGCCATTGTACATGTAACTGTTGCTGCTACAAATGATTAAAGTGACAAATGGCAAGCAAGCCTTCAATTACCTTTATTTTGGGCACAGTAAGATGGCCGTTGATGGCTTCAATGACCTACGTGGGCCGGATAAGGGCTCTAGGCATGCAGATATTTTGCATGGCATCCATGGAAATATGTAGTAGAAAATGAGTGGGGAGGGGGTCATATGGGATCATAAGCCTCCCCAAATGGACTGATCCAAGCCTTCCTTTCTTAATACCACAAAGAATTTCCAGAATGCACTTCCAATGTACATGTACATGGATACATTCTCAGCCAGTCAAGCAGTTTGACTGCCAACCTCTTCACTTTGACCAGGGTAAAAAGCCCAGCATTTGCTCTTGTGGTGCAGACAAGATATGGAAAGGTAATTAAGTGATAAACTCCTGGTCATAAATACCTGGGTTTCAGCTGGGCAGCATGACTCACTTTTATTATTACTACCTGTGTGGTAACTAACATGCCTGATAATATGGCTGTGGTACTGTACATACATGCAAGCCCCCCCCCAATACTTCTGCTTCTGGTTTCCTGACTGAACCTTATTTTTTAGCGCACCCTAAAATTTTTATTGGAAAGTTAGAAAAATGAATTTAAGAAAATTGTAAAAATTAAAATAAATCCTGTTGTCTTTTCTGTCTTTGCAAAATGCCATTTTAACAACCTTTTTTCATGTTAAAATGCTTTTATATATGTTTTGCTACAAGTTTGCCACTTTTGAAAAGAAACTGCCATTATTTCACGAGTTTCCTTCATGTTTTGCCATCACAGTGGTGAAAACACGTGTGCAAAACTCAATGCATTAAAGCAACGCTGTGAGTTCCCGCTGCACCGCGCACATGCAAAAACGCATGACGGAATGTGGCAACAAGTCTACACAAAGAGCTGTCGTTACGCTACAGCAGCCGTACTCGCACACAACTCTACAGCTACACTGCGAAAAACATCAATGTTGCAAGAATATTCTGAAAGTTAATTGACAGAACTTAATCTCCTGTCTGTGTGCGTATTTTTTATGTTCACGAGTTTATTTTGAGATTGTTTTGCTTGTGCTTGAAGCGAGCCTGCTTCCGCAAAATTCCAACCGTGGCATGAGGTTTATCCCCCATCTGGATGCATCACGGACGCTTACTACAAGATACACGGACATTGTTGACCAGTTTGCTGTCACAATTACCTGACTAGCATAGTGGTATAAATTGTTCATAATTCTTAAGAATTGTCGACTGTAGAAATATTTACATAGATTACGGCAATTGTTATCACTTTTTGTGGCAAGCTTTCGTCAGCGCTGCATTCATGCCATTCAATCAGGAGAAAAAAATGACCAAAGAAAACTTTCACCTGCAGACCCTACTTTTGAGAGGCATGTAAACAGAAGCAGAAGCACAGGGTTATGGGGTGCAGCATCTGACAAAAACAAGTTCAGATTTTGTCTCCATCTGAAAATAACGTTGTTTTCTCCATTGAAAAATGTCTCCCCATCATTTCAACAATAAATAATACATATGTATAAACAATGACATGATAATGTTGTGACAATAGCATTAATCTGAAACTCACAATTTGTTTTATGCTGGTACATCTGATAATGCACGTATATCTTCTGCTTTCCAAAAAAGCCACATGCTTCAGTAATATGCCATGAAATTACAGTCGCCAAAATTGGAATTTAGGGATCAAGTTTTATGCATGTAGTTTTCTGGAGCAAACAATCACATGTATGTAGTAAAGTGCACTGTGTGAAATGCACAGAGGAAAAAAAAATGGGTCATGGTCCATTATTTGTAACTATCAAGTGGACCTTGTTTTCTTGCATGCTGATTAGAAGTTAATGTTGCTACAGTAATTTCAATGCTGTTGGTTCACCTCATGGAACTAAAAATCCATTAATTTATAATTGGCCATCCATTACCACAGGCTATTTCAAGGTAAAGAGTATTAGTCACCCAGCAAAAATTCTTTCCCCAGGAAGTGGCAGGAACAGAGGGTAATGCTATTTAACTTAAGCATCAAGTAGCATCACCAAAGCGTCAACAAGTTATTCAAGCATACTTATGCAAAAAAATTATACGTACTGATACAATATTAACTGGACGTCTACATACCTAAATATTTGAGTGTGGAAATTGAGAGACAAAGTCGGTTCTCTGCTCACGCGACCAAATCGGCTGCCATCTTGTTATCACGTGGACGGCAGAGAAAAGAAAGATGGCGGCCCCCTTACATTGCGAAAAATTTTCATTTTCCTGCGTGAATCTGGAATACCTTGTTTTTCTTACACAGTGGAACATGTTAGAGTCTGTAAAATATGATAAAACCACTTTGACACCTTAAGAGGATATTTTCAAGTTGTTGATACTTTGTTGACGCTACTTATGTGTGTTGACACTTGTTGACCCTAAATAGCAGGAAGGGAACAGGACCTGTTGTATACACAATTGCATTAGCCTTGATGAAGAACCCACCCAATGGGAGACACAAAATAACACCACCTTGAGGTTGCCTGTGGACAAGAGGTTAAAGGTCGTCTCCTCATTCAGGCCAGCATGCAGTCAACACTAACTGGTGTTCCAACAAGACCTCCTGCCTCCACAATGGTGACCAGGGGTTTATCCCATAATCCCCTTGAATGAGTCAACAGTAAGTGGGGCAGATGGACAAACAAGAGGGCTACATATTGTGAGAAGGGGGTGTCCTTTGATTTTCCTGCTGAGAGCTGAAATCTACTTTGCCCCCCATGGTTAGACCATGGTAAGTCTACAGAAGTAATGATGGTCTAGCCCTGTGCGCCCTGGCCGCAACCCAAAGACACCACATTCTCCCTACAAAAGAGGGACCACATCAAAGGCAGTCCCTGAGCAACTGACCATTCAGTGGTTTGGGGAAGCTGGGGGTCATTACAGGATTGTGTTTTCATTGTCAGTGGACAGCACTTGACTCATCTTTGAAGTGGGCGACAAGTGTTTCCACAACATGCAGGCCAAGAGCTGTGCCATTATCTGGAACATACTGTGCAAACTGGATGCAGCCCACGCCTCAAACATTTGTGTTCCCCCCATGTTTCAAAATTCATTAGCAGGTTTTGGACAGCTTGGAAGAATTGAGACAGATGCAGCCTGCCAATTTCTTCAGTTACTCTGCATGGGAGTTAATGCGTCTTGAAAACCAAGTACCATGTCCTCTCAGTGCACACTCCGTGTAAAGTGAATGGTGAGGGTTACAACGCCATCAGCGGTTTAACTTCTAGCAAGGTCCAGTACCAAGGAGAACAAAATTGTCTTTAACTACAAGTGATTCAATGATGGGGGGTCTTTTTGTGTAAAAAAAAACAAACAAATAATGTAGTCACATCAAGAGCTTCCAAATTCAATCTGACAGTTCACAGTCTGTGGGAGAGTACCTTCCAGTTATTGACTTCTTTCATTCATTTGATTTTCTAAAAATAAACAACATTTAGTTGCATCAAGAACTTAAAAAGATTCCACTTGATTACTGATCGTGAGAAAGTGTGTCCTAATTGTGTACTTCTTTCATTTGCTTTTACATAGGGAAACAGAACCTCTTACTCAGGTGGCCAAAGTTTCGCCTCCAACTGTGATCAACCTGGAAGGAATCCCCCTACTTGGAAAATGTAAAAAGACCAAACACATCCTCTCCTTAAGTACACTGTAGGAAATTAAAAAGGGGATCAAAAGGCTCATCTCTGCCTAATTCTATTAATCCAGTACCCACTAAGCTGTCTCTCTTTTTACGACAAGTTAAACCACAACAATGCTTGGCTAGCCGGTGGCCACAAGTTAATGAGAATCACTGAAGTAGTTGGTCAAGTAAAACCCATTCAAAAACCCTCAGGAGTGGTCTAGGAACACAACAGTCTGGTGCTGTCATTCCAAGCAACAAGGCTCAACAAAAAGAGACGCCGGTGGCTTTTACGGCAAGGGGAGAGAGTGTGACCAAGGGGAGAGAGTGTGACCGCAGAGCAAGTTTCGTGTAGGCTGCAAATCCAGGTTTGTGTATGGAGGAGGTTCTCATGCTCTTTGATGGTCTAAGCATCAGTGGAGACATGTAGATCCCTTGCAGTGTTGCCGTTTCTGCCCACCAACATTCACCCGTAATTTCCAAAATTGAATCAAAACAAATGCACTTGTGATTATCACCAGAGGGGCAAGTCCAAATAACAAATATTTGCCAAAGCAAGCAACATTCTCGAGAAGCGGGGCGCCGTTGACGGCCTCAGCACAAACAAATGAAGACAGAAAGAGAAAGAGAGAGACTGGGAGAGAAGTGTAACAGTTTCTGAAAAACAAAACTGGCATGCATTACTGAATAGGAGAGGGGAAAATGTGGCAAATTACATGTTGATGGACGCAGATTTGCCCCTTGCTGGTGCGGGGATGCGGTCGAGTCCCGGATGGTGGTGGGGTGCCCAGACCCCCTCCCCGTGCCTTGCTGCTGCACCTGCTGCTTCCTTCGCACCGTGTAATTGCCAGAGACCGGTGACGGAGGGGACCGCCAAGGAACTCTCGCCACTCCTGGGAGGCCAGGAGTTTTTTCTCTCCTTTTTTTTTCACTTATGCCCCAATTTTCTCTTCTTTGGTGATTGTCTTTCAAAAAAGCAGTGCCTTTCCACAATGCTAGTGTATAAGTTCAGACCAATCACCGAGGCCTAATTGGGAAATAACCCGAGCGTGTTTGTGCTTATTTCCAGCAAAGGAAATTACGAGGTGAATGGAAACACAAGAACACATCTCTTCTGTGTGCTTCCTGATTGAGTCAAATGAGCAAGGATGAAGGCTGGGCTGAGACTACAGGAACCAAAGGCTGAAAAAAAATTCCTGAAACCACAATTTTGATTACTGGTGTTGTCTACCAAGCTGAACTGATTGATGTAGTTATTCCCTGATTGAAGACAACAGGGTTCCCCATTCTCCAAGGAGGGAAAAAAGGGGGCCAGAAATTAAACTCAGAGGAGTGATTCCAACGAGAAGTGAAAGCCACACACCATGGACCCAGAAGCTAATAACCCTCTCAAGAAAGAGGAAGTTATTCCCCAGGTTAGAACAAACCAGAGTCCCGCACTTCAGGACTGGGGTCTGTCAAATACAACTAATAAGAATAAAAATCCAATCTACCTTGGAGTTTGGCCAGGGAGGTTTTTTTCTTATCATTGTGAATTATTTACGATCAAATTTCTCCTGACAGACTGATTAGGTCGACTAATCGGAGGAAGGGCCTGGAAGAACAAAAAGGATTCTGTTTTTGTTTCACTGAGATCATGAGTAGCCAAGGCAAGGGAAAAAAGCCGAGGACCATAAATTCACTTAAAACTGGCCAAAAAACGAGGGTAAAAAATTGCAAGAGTTCTGTGAACTTTGGGTAGTCTACTCCCGTGAATGGGTTTTGGGTTAAGTTATTAGAGAAACAAACTGCCAAGGATTCTGGATCTTTAGCCTCTGGGTTGAAAGGGACATTTTTTTCCCCAAGTTTTTGTTACCAGAAAATCTTCATACAATCAAAATTACTCATTTTACATAAAATATCTCATATTAAATTCCGGTTCTTTTTTATGAACATGCAAAATTACTTCAAATTTAGGAAAGTTGTCGAAGGCAGAGGACGTGGTTTGGAGTTTCAGAGTTTATCTCATCAAACATGTAACAAATTTTACATGGTCTATTTTTACCAATTTTACAGATGTACGTGAGCATTTCCTTCATGTTCCTTCTGTGTTCAGATACAGGACTTGGGTGCTATGAATATTTTAAAAGGTTCTTAAGAAACTTTCAGAAAATGCTCATGATTCATGTGAAAATTTTAGTTTGATTTCAATTTTGAAGCAGCCCCTCATTTAAAAATAAATGGTTCCACACATAGTTCAGTTGCTTAAGTACATCCTGCACTTACAGAAAAATATAATCTTCCAAACAACACAGTTCCAGGATTTAGAAAAAAAATGCAAATGCATGACTGGCTTATCACAGAATTTCACACGCCTAAAAATAACCTTTCCTCGGGGAAACAGTTTTGAAAGTCGCATAGCTTTAAGTGACATCTATTTCATTTTGGTGCATTTGCGCTGTGTTGGCAGAGATTGAGAATTTGAACAGTGCAATGTTCTTTGTAAAAGAATCTTTACATTCAAAATATTTACAGTCCCGTCTCATAATTTTTTCAGTTGAGGCAAGGCCAAGATTTTGATCTACAAATATACAGTGCACTGTCCATTACAAAGACCTTTCTATTCGTGACATCGGTTTTTTTTCCCGTCACTTTCAACTTTCCTGAAGGACCTGATTCACTGAATTTTTTTCTCTCTTCTGTTACTGACTGCGTATTTGGGTTGCATACACATGCCAATGTATGCTTAAATAAATATCCGTTGGTGGACTGCATAAACAGTGGAAAGGTGGGATTCGTGGAAGTTTGCTGAAAATAATCTTTTTAAGGTGTAGCAAAGGAAGAAAAATTGTTGGCCTGTCCATGTTTAGAATATACAGTTTGGAATCACTGATGTTTGCAAACAAGGTCGGTGTACTTTTTTAACTTGTGCCCTCTCAAACCAGTACAATTACAGTATATGCATGTGTTCTTATTTGAATAAACAAAAGGCTCCAAACTGGGCTTGATAAATTTACCGGTACATGTACGTGATCAGATTTGGAATAAAACTTTAAAGGGAACCTCAAACATTTTGTTTATTTTCTTGACAGCAAACCTACGTGTAACAGCAAACAAAGAGCAATGATTATCCAAAATGAAAGGAAAAAAAACTAAACTGAAAGGGTGTTTTCTTGAAACCCAACTCATTCACAAACAATTTCAGGTCACATTTCACCACGGGTGCAAAACAACAACATTCCCGAGCGCAGCGGGCGGAGAACAGTGGGGAGCGAGCCAGAGAGACTTTGCTGTTATCGCAACACTGTTTCTAGCTGGTCCAAGGGAAGCCAGCCACACACGCTGCTTAGAGAAGAAAGCCACTGGGTAGGTCTGGCCACGGTGGTCCAACTCACCCTTGTACTAGTCTTGTTTTTTTTAATGGCCAGGCTTCCTTTGTGTTGAACTGGTAAGGGGCCGGGCCCACACAGCAATAATTGCCACTCTCGCCATGCCAGAGCGGCGTGGATTCTCAATAGATGTACAATGAGATATACCCCACGTACAAGGAGAATAGCTAAGAAAGTGATTGCCGCGTACCCAGTTATCTTGCTGACTTGATTTGCTGACTCAGACTCAAGTTGGACTTGAGTCACAACTTTTGTGACTTGAGACTTGATTTGGAAGAAAAAAAAGACATGCGACTGAACTTGACAAAAAAACGACTTGTGATTAAACTTATAGAAAAAAAAATTACTTGGTTACAACATAGCACTGCAATTACCATAAATTGTTTCCCAAATATGAACACTGCATATGGTGGATAGCTGACTGGTTCAGTCATTTAGCCCTTGAAGTATGAGGGCAGTCACTTGGCCCTTGACTTGAGACTTAATTTGGAAAAAAAAAAGACATGCGACTGAACTTGACAAAAAAACGACTCGTGACTAAACTTATAGGAAAAAAAATGACTTGGTTACAACATGGCACTGCAATTACCATAAATCGCTTCCAAAATATGAACACTGCATATGGTGGAGAGATGACTGGTTCAGTCATTTGGCCCTTGAAGTATGAGGGATCAGTTACGAATAGATCCAGGCTAAGTGGTGATGCTGTGCACTAGCAACTGGGAAAGCCTCAACACAACAGTGCCACACGCACATGTGCGTACACATGTAGCAGAAACTTCAAGGGGCAAAACATCTCAAAATTTTCCCAACTGACACTGGCTCTTGGCATGATGCTGCAATCATACAAGTCTTCATAAATGTATTTCGCAAGAAAGGAAGGGCTGAAGTTATTCTGTGCACGACCACAATGATTTCCATCTCATTTTGTGCATCTTTTCTGGGGCAGCATTCAAAGTCTGAAAACCTTCAGTGCAAGTCCGAATGTATGTGCAAAGACAAAGTCCAAGAAAGAAAGAAAAGTGCCCTTTTGGTCTGCGTCCTGCCTCCCTCTGCAAAGAATAGGCAGTTACTGGTAAGGTAATATCAGTAGGAGTAAAGGACACTTACCAAAGGTACTGAGTTGATTTACCAAACAAAATAAGAGGCTCTGAAGTGAAGCCTGTAAACTTAAGGAAAATAAACACTACCAGCACTGCTCACTACCAGTACCAGGCATGCAACATGCCTTAATACAGGAGGTTCCCCTAACTTGCTGCTGACTTGAAGTTAAAGGGACTATGCAATACAATTATGTTACAAAAATCCTTGACACTCACCTTAGTGTATCTGTTGATCTTTTCAATTTTTGCATTGTTGTTTTAATCTGTATTTTGAACAACCTTTTGGGGTTTTTTTTGCCGATGTGAATTTCCATATTCATGATTCCCAGGATCTGAACCTTAATGATTTGTGCACCAAACTGTGTACTGGAGTTGTTTAGATTTAGCTGCCACAGGTTTCTGTTCCTTTTGCAATTTACTGTTGTGTGTGGCAAACAGCCAGTGAGCAACCTTTTCTTGGAGACATTTTCAAAGATTAATTTTTGGGTTTAAAAATTTGAACGTGAAAACATGCACAATGAACAGTATCTTTTCTGATTACATCATGGCAACAGTGCCCTCACTCGTCTGGAAATGCTCGATTTCCAAAGTTTTAAAAATGTGCACTTTTCAATACGCATAACCCCAACGAGATTTCAAACAGTTTTCTTGCACTGACAAAGAATTTATTAATGCACAAAAAGAGAGTTCAAGAAAAAACCATAGACCCTTTAAGGAAACCCTGTAAAATGTTGATTTGATGTTGTTCTTGTAAAGGAGCTATTCAACACAGCAGTGCATTACATGTACATGTAGTTATGAGGCGTTTGGTTTATTTCATAACCAACAAAAGAAAAAGGAATTTCTGCAAGGAACCTTCCCGAATCCTCATAAAACTAAGATTGCACAGGAAACCAAACTGCAAATTCATATTTAAATACCTTCATGCGGTAAAAAGTCCTTTGCAGAGTAAGCACCAATGGCCAGTCTCTACAACTTCCTTGACCCTTAAAAATAACCCTGGAGGTGGATTTTAAAGGCTCTGTTAGGACTAGGATTGAGTGAACAAATTCAGCAATGCAATTTGCCTCCAAGTTTTGCAAGTTGCTCCTACTGCTGCAGCCATTGGCTCTGCACAATGCAGAGTTGCGGATGGAACTTGGGGATAAAGGAGAAAATAAAGTCCGACTTTCAGAGAAACATTTGATGTCCTGCGGGATGTTTTCGCCTGTGATCCACCTAGTCCAATACTGAGGCACAGTGGTGACATTCTATGCCACTGTTGTTTTGACATGTGAAAACTGAACACCTCCAGTCATCAAAGGGGAGTGTATGTGCTCGGCAAGGCACATTCATTCATAGGTACACTGGCTGAGACAGTCCTGTTTACTTCACACCAATTCATCAAAGGTAGGCAAGCAACAGTAACCAGCAAGCTCTGGCTAATTCGGTCCAGGTCCAGGCTTGCACCGGAGAGCCAACTTGGCAGAAATAAATGACAAGAGGTGATTCTGGGCAATGGTTTCACAGAGGAGAACCTGCTGAGAATTGAGGCACCATTTCACAATCCTCAAAGCTCGGAGGGTACGGGTAACTCATAACTAGACTATTCTCAGATCTAAATGCTGTTATGGCTTTTTTTCAACCAGCTTTGACAAAAAGACGTTTTCTTCCTGTGGCAATGTCAACAAGCAGTTGGGCAGGTCCAGGACCAAATTTCATGGTGCTACATGTACATGTACTTAACAGTTACATGTAGCAGAAAAGTCAGAAAGGTTTGTTTACCGTAACCACTATTCCGTGGCATGGCTCAGAGCAGTTGTGCTTGTAATTGTGTACTCATTGAGATTTCCACTGTTTTGTCACTGATTTTTTTCCTCCAAGGTAAGCATGCCTTTTTCCCCCTGTTTACTGCTTCATGAACACTTGCACAAAAATTTGGCCCTGGATTTACCGGTACTGATCCTGGAATGGCTGGTCGGTGGGTTTGCCAAGTCAAGCCCCACACGCTTTAAATGAGGCAATTGCCATTCAAGCCAAACCAAAACTAAGTACATGTATGTGATGTACATGGTACTATGTCACTGGTAGAAATCTGTATTTCTGATTTATATTGAAGGAGACGAAAGGCAAGTGATTGACTTACCTGATCACACAACCTGGGGCTGTAAAGTTTTGATGAATAGACACTGAAATCTGAAAACGTTCTCCAACAGCAACGTCCGTCTTTGGCACATACAGCCAAACATTCTTGTCTTCCTTGATGGTAGTCAGGACTTCTTGGCGCTGCTGAAACTGTACGTTCCCCAAGCTGTGCTCGGGGAACAATGGCTGGTCCTCAGTCCCCCGCGAGCAGCTTGACGGTGAGTGCACAGAGTAAGACACTGTGAGAGACTGGATACCAGTTGATTCCACATCTCGCCACCATGCTGGTGGGACTGCGATCTGGGCTAAACAGGATAGGGATTGCGCAGATGGCAAACAGCTGGCCCCTGCCTCAGATTCACCGTACCAGGCTCTTGTCCTCAGACAGGGCAAAGTCCTCGGTTCCCCCATACTCTGATGCTTCGGTCTCACAAGGAACAGGACCTGGATGCGGGAGCTGTGGGGCGAGACAAATTCTTGTGTGGCTAGCTCAGCCATGATGTCGTAGCTAAGTGACTGTGAATCATTATCATGCTTCTCCAGACTGCCCTCCACGACGAAGGGGCCGTAGGTTGCCCGCACGGCCCCTGAATGGGGTCCAACTACACCCACCATCTGGTCAGCATAGAGTCCGCCCTGGCCAGGCTTGGGCCCGGATGGAAAGACACTGGAGGAATTCCAGGCCATCTTGGACAAGAGTACGGACTGGCTGTTCAGCGGGGCAAAGTGAACCGGAAATTCAGCCCAAGGTTCACTCTGGATGTCACTACGGCGGAATTTGGCTTCCACGTTACCTGAACAGGCAAGAGTAAAAAAAAAGTTTGAAAGACTTCAATCATAAAATTTGTCTCGGTTACTGATTAATTATGTTACAATCCTAAAAGAAGCTGTCCCATTACCCTTCATTGCTTTGCAATCTGCGAAAGCACAAACACAGAAAAACATGAATGAGACAATGTTGGAGGACGTCAACGCTAGGGTGCAATATTGGATTATATACATGTTTCAGAGAAGAGAAAGCACTGAAAAGGGTACACAAATTCTTTGTATGTAGTTCTTCCAGTTTTTTAAACAAATGTAGACAGGTAGGCCTACATGTACATGAATGAATCAAAACTCATCGACCACTCAAGGCACACAAAATTCTTGATTCCCTTCTGCACTTATGATATTGCATTTTCCTTTTTCCCCTAAAACCCCTCGTAAATGGACAAGACTCCAACCTCTCCAAACTTTGGGTCTCTGAACACCAATAGATCATTTTTGGGAGACTGCAATTTGCAGGATCGGCCCCTGCATCAGTTTTTTTTTCTCCAGATCTTGTCTCCATTTAAAAAAAAAAGAAACCCCAACGGACCGGGTACAATGGGCCTACCAGTCCCTGGGTAAGTTTCTGTTGAACTCCATGACTTGTGACTTTTGACCGGTCGCAGCCATATTTCCTACTGGACAGATACATTTGGCAGGCCTGCCAATGCCACTTTGTCTGGTTGTTCCCTGCAGTTAATCGATTCGAGCTTCGACCATTCGTTTATCTGGAAATGTTGGGGCCCCGCCAACGATTTTGGAGGCTGTTTACAAGATGTGGCTGTCAGCTTGTGTTATTCTTGATTTCTGCGTCAGAAGTCAATCTTTCTTTGTTTTCCTCTCTTCGGTGAACTGGTCAGATTGCTTAAAGTTTCACTGTACTGAAAAGAAAGGTTACCTGCACCTAGCTTTTTGAACATTTATGCGATGAGTAAATCTTTCTTTTTCAAACCCTGATGTTATGGGAAGTTTAAGACACATTTAAACAAATTCTGGGAGAATGAAAGTACCCAGTGTATACATGGAGGGGCTACTGCAGATGGGGTCTATGGGAAGCTGTAATACAGGGAGCATAGAAATTAAAAGTCAGAGGTATTCTGTTGAAACTTGAAATTCAACCACGGGGTGAGATTTGAGGAAGCTGAAAAATACTGGGGAAAAACAATGCCTCTTAGGTGTGTCCCTAAAATCTTCCATTTCAACAATTTATCACACCATGTGTACAGGCTCTATCCTTGTTTGTTGATTTTTCAGATTCTGAAAAAATTACATTCTTTTATTCTTAGATCTTACATTACATGCATGAGCTGAAGAATTTTGACCCAGTTTTAGACCATTACCCTAGCCTTGACATCACATCACTAAAGGTTACTTAGAGGGGACTGCTAGCTCTGGGTAAGCATTAAATTGCTCGTAAATTTGTCCCAAACAATTCCACACCTGCCAAGCCCTTGGTACTTCCCAAAACATTAGCCAGGTACAGAGCAGAGCATCCACGCTATCTGCGACAAATCTCTCACACTTGGCGAGTGTATATGGCGTCGTAACATGGTGTTTACAAATTCTCCCCCTTGACGTCAACTGAAAAAATTTAATATCTGGGGGGAAAAAAGCGCAGCAACAACAGATTTACACGCATGATATTAAAAATCGGCTTAAGTTGCCAAAGCACATCGTAATATATCAATGAATACTGTGTACGCCTAGGCTGTCATTGTGTAAACAGTTATTTATGGAAAACAGGTACATGTACATGTACACTGTTACTTTCTGCCGTTATGTTGCCACCCGTTTATACCCAGTTTTGATTGTTAGATTGTTACGCTTCTTCCTCCCCTCCCCCCAATAAATTTTGGGATGGGGTAAAATGATACGGGCAAGGTTGACAGTACTGTATAAACATGCACCCAGCAAAGCAGGTAGAGACGACACCCAAAAACGCCTATGTGCATAGGGTTTAAGAGTTTTAACAAAGAGAACTGCAATGACTTTTTATCACAGCATTCCTTGATTTGAACTCTGCAACGTTTCCTACTTTGCTCATATTTGGTCAATTGGATTTGTGGTTTTGCTGAAAAGATGACACCAAAAGGTGCAGGTAGTAAGTTCAAGTACTAACACTTCCTAAGTGTATGCATGAAACGTGCTCTACAGTACGCGTGCATACACGGGCACTGTGCGAACTGACTGCCAAATCTGCATTCTTGAATACTGCAGACCCCCTACACTGGGGACCACCCAAAATAGCCAAACTTGTTAACTTTTGCTACAAAACTTTTTATAAGTTGAGCATAACTCTGCATTAAACATGTTTATTACAAAGATGACGTTGCCGGCCCCAAATGATATTAGTCAAATTGTGTCCAGTACACGAGGTTTAGACTACGTTAAGTGTATGCTGAGTGAATGCAAGTGCACGCATTACGGTTGATGCATTGAAGAAAACTGCACCCACAGAATTTCTCTGATACACTCAAAGAGTTCCAAACTCCTTGTCAAACCCTCATACTAAACTAGGCACACCTGCCAAGGAGCAAAGTGCATGCCGCCTGATGGCCCCGGTGATGGATCAGGGGGTCAGGGGTCAAGTGTAAATCTTTGTTGTGCACTGAAGCATGACAAGGTCATCAAAGTGCTGGTGTGGATGACTCTGTTTGCAGTTTCTCCAAAGAATTACAGCATAACCCACCAAATGCCCATCCCCCCCAAAAAAAATCTGAAGCCACAGGTTGGGCCCTAATGCACTGCACGTGTCAAACAAACTGGTAATGTACATACTTTATGACATATTTCTAATGGACCCAGAGTGAACATTAATTGAGGGCACTGTTGTATGTAACTGAAAGCACACTAAGCCCACAATATGCTGGAGCCAATTTAACAGAGCTATTTAACTCAAAAATTGCTCAACACAGAATATATCTGCTCAGCAAATTACTGGTTATTTGCAAAAGGCACACCAGATATATTACTTGAGACCAGTTGCCTGCTAAGTTTTGCTTAGCACATCAATTTTGCTGAGTAATGTTTCTACTTTAATAATGACTCTATGAAATTGGGCTGTAAGTGGTTCTCAGTCCCACAATGACTTTGTAAAGAAGGAGGTGGCAGCATGTCTACAGAGGGTAAGAGCATTTCTTTCTTCCTTTCACTGGTTCCACTGCATTTACATGTATTTAGCCCATTTACATGTAGCACGAGCAGTAAACCAGGGAAGTGCCCATTTTTAATGTTTCGATCTTTCTTCACTGGCTTGAAACTGGCACGAAAAAAAAAACCACTTCGGTCTGTCTCCTTGAAACATTCTCTAGAAGCTTTAGTCATGTTAAAAAAAATTCATTATATAGGGTGTTGTAACATACAGTGTACATGTACATGTTCTACATGTACCTGTCTGCCTGACCCAATTGAATTTTCAACAACAGACTATTTATTGCATTTTAGTGAACTTGTACCTTTCGTAGATGACAAGAATTCCTCGTTGCGTCACAGATGCTTCAAATGCGACCAAACAAGTAACGGTAATTTGTCATTCTTTTAAATATCAAACATTAAATAAACACGCACGAGCCGTCAAATCTGCATGTGTCGTGGAAGTACACAGGGGACACTGAGGGGAGAAATATGAAGAGAAGGGTCGATTGTACTTTTCAGAAAAAAAAAAAAGTACAAGGCTTGTTACCTTTGGTTCACGATTTCCGTAGCTGCATTATTTTTCCCCTCCCCAAGTTCTTTGAGGGAGGCATTTTTTAACAACAGTTGACATATCCTCATGCAAAGTGTAGTTGAGGATAGCCGACTGTCGCAAGACCTGCTTGCGGCAGGAACCAGGAAATTTATCGCCCGTTATTTGCCCAGAGAGCAGCAGGTAAACTTTGCCATTTTTTTTTTAATAGCGGGGAGTTGGGCTGGGCCAATTAAACCAGTTGTGATATCAAACACATGGCCAAGGTTTGACGTGATTGATTGGCCCAGACCCACAGCCAAAAGCTGTGGATCGTAAATTTTATTATTTTGTTCTGAGAGCAGCAGACAGTCTTTTCTCTTTTTTTTTTATATCTTGCTCCAGCGCCTTCTTTCATTATCAAAAGAGACAATCTTTGAAATCCAGGCCTAGTTCGACAGCATAAATATTGGAATGTGTACCAGTGTTATTGTTTGTCATCGCTGTGCTCTCTGTGGCCAGGAATTTGTGTTTACTCTTCAGAAAAAGCAAGTCTATTTGGTGCGAACATTCTTCAGAAGGTGTGCTGAATGTAAGGGTTTATACTATCAAGGAAAATCCCTTATTGATCTGCAGTGAAACCTCACATGAAGTTTTCAGAGTCACCATGTGGGTCTCGCCTTTATTGGTACAAAAGGTCTTTTTTTGTGGCAAATTTGTTGTGACAGGCTTCGCTGTGCACACGACAGCTCTTCTGTCAATGCAATTATACACATACAATGAACATGGCCGTGTGCATTTTCAACATAAGTGCATATGTACACCAGCCATGAGTCAAAAGAAACCTTACTAATGGCTCGACCTTTGGAATACAGATAACCGCCAACTGATTATTGCCACCACTTTTCGGTATCAACAACACACCCTAGCTCGCAGGCCTCCCCAAGCACCCAGCCCCTCGTTTTTTTAATCAGTGGTTCCATCTGACCTCAAACACGCACTCAGCGTTTCTTCATTGAGGGTGGCTTGTCGAACATGAGTTTATCTGGTTTATGGGTACCCGTTGCTGCTGCTGTGTGTATACACAAAACTGTTGGGATGAAGAAAAAAAATTAAAAATGTGATGTCACGAATCGGGATGGACCTGTGTGGAACGGCCCTTGGTCCCCGCAGCGCTACCGCACACGACAAAGCTCTTTTGTGCAAAGTGCTACTTTGTGTCGCACCGGGGGGATAAAAATGGCTAGCGTGTTGGTTTGTGTCAAGTGCCTGAGTGTTTGTACGCGGGTACTGCACTTTTCTTTTGCGAGAACAGCCGGCTGG